TTAAAACTCTAATGCGGACCCAGGTATTCCTTATCCGCTTTTTCAAGTAAGGTCAGTAAAGATAGCACTTTCGTTCATTTTATCGTCACCTCCACTTCCTCCCACATTTAAAAACTCTCATTTCATAAATTCTTATTGTTCCCAAAATCTGCTGCCTCTGACAAGGTCTAAAATAAAAGGCAAAAGGGGCGCCTAGGTAGCTCAGTTGGTGGAGCGTGTGACTTCAGCTCAGGTCACGATCTCGTGGTCCGTGAGTTCGAGCCCCGCGTCGGGCTCTGTGCTGACAGCTCGGAGCCTGGAGCCCGCTTCGGAGCCTGTGTCTCCCCGTCTCTGTCTGACCCTCCCCTGCTCACCTTCTGTCTCTCTCTCAAAAAACAAACATTAAAAAAAAATTTTTTTAATTAAATTAAAAGGCAAAGGATCTTCTCTGATGAACTTTACTAATGCCCCACCTCCCCCTTGTCCACATCTCAAATGCCAGAAGTATCCAATTTCTGCTGAGAAACAGCTTTGGTCTCAATTTCCATTATTACCCAGACGGGGTTTTGTAATTTCATTTTCTGCTATGATACCTCAGGTATCTCTCACCCTTTGGCTTGAAACAACAGAAGCAACCAAGAAATTATAACTGTGACCACTTCCAACATTCAACCCAGGATGCCAAGCCGTGTGGAATCGAGGAGACAGTTGACATACTTCACTGAAACACTTCTTCCTTTGTTCTTAGCCACACTTTTATTTGTTTGTTTGTTTGCTTATTTATTTGCAACAAAGACGGGTCACTTGTTGCTATCATAGCATTCTGATATTAACACCTTTGTGGCAGGGCTCCTGGGTGGCTCAGTCCATTGAGCATGCGACTCTTGGTTTCGGCTCAGGTCATGATCTCACATCTCGTGAGGTTGAGCCCCACATCAGGCTCTGTGCTGACAGCATGGAGCCTGCTTGAGATTCTCTCTATCCCTCTCTCTGCCCCTCCCCTGCTTGTGCTCTCACTCTTTCTCAAAAACAAACTTAAAAAAATCTAAAAATAAACAAAAAACCCCACCTTTGTGGTTTCTGTAGTTCGTTTTCCTCATAGACTTAGCTGTCAGAACCCAAATTGGGCTTTGCAACAATTCCATTTTTTAAAAATGTTTATTCGTTTTTGAGAGAGAAAGCATGAGTGGGGAAGGGGTGGAGAGAGAGGATCCAAAGTGCTCTCCAGGTTCTGAGCTGTCAGTACAGAACCCGATGTGGGGCTCGAACTCCAGAACTATGAGATCATAACCTGAGCATGTCCATCACTCAACCAACTAAGCCACCCAGGGGCCCCTGCAGTGTCCATTTAAAAGTGAATCAGTGATATGATCCACAGAAAGACAACAAAAGAAATGTAAATGTTTCTAGAAATGTAAAGTTTCTGTGGAGATGGTTAAGTGAAGTAGAAGGTTCACAGTGTACCTCCAGGTGAAGGTACATTCACGTGTGGGTGACACAACCAACGTGGACCAAATGTTGCACTGGGGATCCAAGAATTTCCCCTTGCTATTCTCACGGAGATTCAGAACCTTCTAAAAGTCTTCCACAAGCCACATGGTTATTCTACATTTCCCACGAGCTTCTCCACAACCACAGATCATTCCTGAGCATTTGCTTCTGGTTTAGGTGAAGAGAGGGCAAATTTTTTTACTGTTTATTTATTATTGAGAGACAGAGAGAGACAGAGCATGAGCATGGGAGGGGCAGAGAGAGAGAGAGAGAGAGAGAGAGAGAGAGACACGGAATCTGAAGCAAGCTCCAGGCTCTGAGCTGTCAGCACAGAGCCCAATGCAGGGCTCGAACTCACCAGCTGTGAGATGGTGACCTGAGCCGAAGTGCGATGCTTAACCGACTGAGCCACCCAGGCTCCCCTTGAGAGGGCAAATTTATTTTTTATTTTTATTTTTTATTTTTTCAACGTTTATTTATTTTTGGGACAGAGAGAGACAGAGCATAAATGGGGGAGGGGCAGAGAGAGAGGGAGACACAGAATCGGAAACAGGCTCCAGGCTCTGAGCCATCAGCCCAGAGCCCGACGCGGGGCTCGAACTCACGGACTGCGAGATCGTGACCTGGCTGAAGTCGGACGCTTAACCGACTGCGCCACCCAGGCGCCCCGAGAGGGCAATTTTTAAAAAGCAGCACCCAGCATTCCCAGGATGTAAGCCTATCTGATGTCCACCCTTGTGTCACTCAAATCAGACTTACCTCACCCTGGAGCTCCCTTTTCCTTCTGTGTATCATGTACTGATTGAGAGCATCAGGATACAGTCAAGCAAGTTGGAATCTCAGAGCTGCCTTTGACTTCAGCTTTCCTGCCCTTACCATCCAATCAAGCTCCAAGTTCTGTAGATTCTTCCTGTAGCTATCTCTTAAATTCATCCCCTTTTCTCCATTTGCCTTGCTCTTGCTCTTGTTCAGACTTCCTTTACTTCTCACTCAAAACAAATCGGAGGGGCGCGTGGGTGGCTCAGTTGGTTAAGCCTCTGACTACGGCTCAGGTCATGATCTCATGGTTGGTGGGTTGAAGCTCCGTGTCGAGCTCTGTGCTGACAACTCAGAGCCTGGAGCCTGCTTCAGATTCTGTGTCCCCCCCCCCCCCGCCCCCCGCCCTTCCCCTGCTCGTGCTCTCTCTCTGTCTGTCTCTCTCTCTCAAAAATAAATAAGCGTTAAAAAAAATCTGAACTGATTTCTCTATCCCCAGTCTCTCTTGTCTTGAACCCATTCTCCACCTACCTTCCCCAAACAGACCTCAGGTCTTCTCTTTTTCTGTAACATAGTCTGAGCGGAGCTTATCTGTTCTCTTGGGTTAAAATATCATAATTTTGCTGACGAGTCATAAGATCATCTCCAGCCAGAGGAATTCTCTGAATCTGACTTCTGCATCCTACATATCCAACCCTCTCTTTGAGGTTTCCCACTTGGATGTCTCACAGGCATCTCAAGCTTAACATGTCAGGAACAGAACAATTAATTTCCCATTCAAAATATATCCCCTCCCACCGTAGTCTTCCCCATCTCAGTAATGGTGTCACTCTCCACCCAGAAGCTCACTTCAGAGACAGTTATCCTTGATTCCTCTTTGTCCCTAACCTCCTACATCCAATCCATACAGCAAATCATGCTTCATGCTGCTGTACATCATGTGTTTACACTTCTCCATCACCATAGTCACCACCTTAGACTAGGCCACCATCATCCCACCATGATCTTTCACCTAAACTACCACAACAACGCTAGCTTGTCTGTACCATCCCACTTTTGCTCATTTCTAATCCATTTTGTGTTTTCTTTTTTCTCTTTCTTTCTTTCGAGAGATCACACAAGCGGGGGAGACAAGCAGAGGGAGAGAGAGAGAGAATCTCAAGCAGGCTCCATGCTCAGTGAAGAGCCTGTCACTGGACTTGGTCCCATGACCCTGGGATCATGACCTAAGCTGAAATCAAGGAGTCAGACTCTCCATCAACTGAGCCACCCAGGTGCCCTTCTAATCCATTTTCTACATCATATCAAGAACACTGTTTTAAAACATGACTTGGATCATATCACTTGCTTCAAGCCCCTCAGTGGCTCCCTCTTCATTTAAAACTTGTTGCCATAGACTACAAGGCCTTGGCTGTCTTCAACCATCTCAAACCATCTCAAACCACTGACTCTCAGTTTGGATGATAAGCTCCAGTCAAACCGAGTTTCTTAAAGTTCCTAGGAGTAGCTAGACTCTTTCCTACCTCAGCCCTTTGCAAATGCTGGCCTTTCTGTGTAGAATGCATGACCGACTTCTCATCTTATAGGTCTGAGCTCTGTTGTTACCTAAGAGGTCTTCCTACCTATCTAATGTTGGCCACTCTGATTATTCTTGGGCAAAAACATTAGTTTCCTTCATAAGACATCATCATTTATAATAGTTGTATTTGGTAGTATGTCTCCCTGTTTTGGTTTTGTTCTTTATCTGTGTAGTTCCCCACAGTACCTGGCATATACTTAGATCTTAATGGCCTACTATTGAATAAGTTATTTTATATCACTCCTTTGCTTAAAAACCTTTACTCTTGGGGTACCTGGGTGGCTCAGTCGGCTGAGCGTCCAACTCTTGATTTCGGTTCAGGTCATGATCTCTCGGAAGTAAGATCGAGCCACACATTGGGCTCTGCACTGGGCACGGAGCCTGCTTAAGATTCTCTTTCTTTCTTTCTACTTCTGCCCCTGCCCCACATTTTCTCTTTCTCTCTCAAAATAAATAAATAACTAGATATATAAATAACCTTACTGTTTCTCACTTGTCTACAAGAGTCTAAACTCCAGAGTATAACATTTGGCACTAACCTACTCTACCTATGCAGCATCTTTCCTACTGCTTCTGATTCCATTGCAGATCAGTTAGCCTTGTTGACTTGTGAATAATGGAAACCACAATATACACAGTGGCTTATATAATGGGGCTGTCGTTTTTCCCCTGGAAATAGGTCAGTAGGGCTGGTGTGTTGGCTCAATACTGCCACAGAGAACACAGGCACACTCTTTTTGTCTTTCTGTCTCATCACTGTCAAATGTGGCTTTTGGTTTCATGACTGCAAAAGGGCTGCTGAATCTCCAAGTGTTATATCTATTTTCCAGATCAGAAAAAAAAAAAGCTTTCTCCTTATATAGTTGTTTTCTATTTATTCAGAAAAAGAAGCCCTTACTAGATAGTTCTACTTACATCTTATTGGCTAGAACTGCATCATATGGCCACCTCTAGCTAACCAGGAACACTGGGGGATTGAGTATTTGTTTTTAATTTTTGAGAGAGAGTGAGAGAAAGCACCAGCAGGGAAGGGGCAGAGAGAGAGGGGGACAGAGGTTCTGAAGCAGGCTTTGCAAGGATAGCAGACAGCCTCACGAGGGGTTCAAACTCACCAACCATGAGATCATGATCTGAGCAGAAGTCAGAAGCTCAGCCAACTGAACCACCCAGGCACCTGGGGATTGAGTATTTTTAGGTGGGTACATTTTCTGCCCTGGACAAAATCATGGACCTATGAGTAAGGAAGAGAGGGGAACGGATATCAAGTAGGTTCTATTAGTATGAACCTCATTGTGCATTATCACATTCTCTATACTGGAGTATTTTTCACAGTTCCCTGAAATACTATGCAATCTACAACGCTTTTATCTTGCTTCTCAACCTAAATTATTGTGCTTACCCTTCAAGATTGACCTTGAATACCTCCCATCTGAAACTTCTTTTATCCTCTGAGGCAGGATTAATGCTCCTTGGATTCCTAGGAGGTGATGCAGGAAATAAGGGCCTTGTCTTCTGGTTGTATCATCAGCATTTCAACAAGTGCCTGGAATATTTGGAAACAACCAGTGTTAACCAAACTGCAAGAGAGGAGAAGCCCAGGAATGCATGCTTTTCTTTTTTGATCCTCACAATAACCCCAGGAGGAAACTACCACCCTTGTTTTATAGATAACGGAACTAAGTCTCAGTGAAATAAAAGTTACATGCTCAAGGCCACACTGCTAATAACATGAGCCTAGGGATTAATTGAGGGCTATGCCTTTGCTTTGCCCCCTATTTCCTGCCACATTTTATTTTTTTACTTTTTTTTAAGTTTATTCATTTATTTTGAGAGAGACGGAGACAGCGTGAGTCGGGGAGGGGCAGAGAGAGGGAGAGGGAGAATCTCAAGCAGGCTCCGAGCTGTCAGTGCAGAGCCCAGTGCAGGGCTCGAACTCCCAAAACCGTGAGATCATGACCTGAGCTGAAATCAAGAGTCAGACACTTAACCGATGGAGACACTCAGGAGCCCCTATTTTTATTTTTAATCCAGGGGTCAACAAACCAAAGCTCACGGGGAAGCCTCTTGTTTCTGTAAATTAAGTTTTATTGGAACACAGCCATGCCCATTCCTTTTTGTATTACCTATGCTGCTTTTGCATATTACAACAGAAGCGTTGAGTCATCGAGACAGACCATATAGCCTGCAAAACCTGACATATTTACTCTCTAGCTCTTTCTAGATAGCTTGCTGACGTCTGTCTGCACTAAGCCATACTGGCTCCTACATTGAATCCAAAGATAAGCGTCTTAGAAAGGGGTTTAAAATGGTCATTTTCAGACCAACATTATGAGGAGGAAAAGACTAGGATCTCTTCCTGAGGAAGATGTCGCATTAAAAAGTGACAGAAGGAAAAAGGACATTCAGTCGTTCTGACTTCTTTCTGCGTTCAACAAGAGAGAGAACCAGTGTCCAAAAGAGTGGGAGTGAAAAAAAGAATCGATTCACCATTGTAAGAATAATTCTTACTTCACAAGGCTGTTGTAAAATTGGAATGAGCTAAAGCATGAGATAAGGCACGATGCCCCGTACATGGTCGAGGCTCCAATGTGGCACAGTCTCCGTCCGGTATTGTTGCCTGTGAACATGACCTGCTCTCTGGGGTCAAGGGAAGAAAGAAGAACCATTTGTATTGTTTCAGGTCCAGAACTCCATAACGTCGGAAAAGTGCCCTGATCTGTCTCCGTTCTGTTTTCTCCAGAGAGCCATTCCCATGTCTTAGAGGAAATTGTGGACTCGGGTAAGAAAGCGATGAAGCCTGAGCCTGTTCACTGTCCGTCTGTCTAGCCCAAGAGCTCTGTCTTTTCCCACCACTGTTGTCTCACACGGGGAGAAGCCAGGTACTGGGGAGACAGCATGACAAGAAGGGGGTCCCGGGGCGACCTCTCTGAACTCCAGAGAAGCTCTCATCACAATCCTCTCAAAATTCCTTGGAGGAAAGCTTTCCAGATGCACGAGGGGAGGGAAAAACCTGCCCAGTTAAAGCCTTATGTAATCTCGGTGCAGAATCTCAGTGTAGTCATCTCATTTAAGGCCACGTGCATTTACCAGAGGCTCCATTATTAATAAGCTGAGAGAGACGGCAAATTATCATGGGAAGGAGGTGAGGGGGGAAGAGGCAACAACCATCTGGGTCAGAGGTAGCAAAACATCGAACACGCATGGCCTATGACTTTCCCACCAGAAATAACTTCTTTGCAACGGGGCGGGGGTGACAGGGGGCGGTTGGCTTTTAGAGAGCTGAGCCCAAATGCATGTTTTCCGTGGAGCTTGTTTTATTGCACAGGTTGAACTCTGGAGAGAGGATGTTACGGAGTCAAGTCTCCTTACATATTCTTAATGAGTGTAAAGCGTCTGGATTTATGGCGCGAAAAACGCTGGCCATAAAAGCAGAGCGGTGCACGGCGTCAAAAACTGCTGTTTGTTCCTCTTGGAGAAACTATGGTCAAATCAGGGCAACGTTCAGTCAAAAGTTGCCGGCGGAGAGCGACAGTAAATAAAGTATCCCTTAATCATGCAGTTAAACAGGAGATGCCCAATTATTAAGGCTTTGCCCAAGTACACTGCCAGCTGAGTACTCAGAGCAATCCAAGCACACCAGCCTCCACGTAAATGATAATTCTCAGAGACTTGCAAATACTAATGGTTAAGACATCAGAATAAATCACGGCATTAAGGAGACATGAGGGCCCTGCCCTAATAGACCTACACTTGTGCTTCTGCTGAGTGGTGCAGGAATCCATGAAGTAGCCATCTTTTCTTCTTCCTGCCTCTTAACTGAGCATCCTTGATCGAATACATTCTTCGGACTCAGGAAAATATTGGGAAATATTGCCATTAGCAGCTACCAAGCTATCTGAAACAGACCTCGGGGGTATATATTGATAAGCTCTTGCCAATTCACTGCAGCTGATAAATAGCATTTCTCCATACAATTCCATTTTCTAAAGCGTGCATTCCGTTTCTATAGCAACTTTCATTTTGTTAACCTGTTACTCACGTTAAAAGTGTTATTTTTAGCATAACGTTTCCAGAAGTCTTCGACAAAGAAAAATGGGAAAAGATTGTGGCTTGAAGATGAATGCGATGTCCAATAGGAATTCTACTATGTAGCGTCTTTATTTGGCCAGTGCATCATCTATTATGAAATTAGAGAAAATATGGATTTTTAAAATGCGTGTGTTTATGGACTTTGCAGGGGAAAAAACCCCACCGTATCCCATTTTTTTATTTTTTGGAACAAGATAAGAGTATTTAAGGAAATAACAATATCTAAATGGATTTATTTCCTACAGATTTTCATTTACATAAAACCTAAGGAGAGGAATATATAACTGAGGGCTTTTTGTGTGTGGTAGAGTCATGGCCTTTGCTACTGGGGTTGCAGTTTTAAAATCCAATGTATTATCAGGACATGTAGGGCTAATGGCATGAATTGCAGCTACGGAGAAGTCATCTAAGAAGAAACCAAATTGGGGAGGGGGTGCGGTTTTATAGATGGCTGACACTCATAATAAATTGTGACATGGCCTGCCTTTTGACTTTCCCACAAATGGCTTCCTTCTCCCGCCGCCCCCCCCCCCCCCCCAAATATTGTCTTACCTTTCACTTCCCGGTCAAAAATGGAGTCCTGTGTAGTTTGATATAACTTGACTGGAAATGAACGACTTGAACACAGCCTGATTTCCCCTATTTGGATGCGGGTGAGGAGAACATTGCCCTTCGTTTATTACAAGTGAACCCTGAAATTAGACTTGACTTGAATTCTAGATGGGAACAATTATTTTCCAATGTTGTAACTATTGTTCTCTAATTATTAGAAAGGCAATGAAGTGGAGTGGATAAGGGCCTGGCTTCTGGAACCAGGCAGCTTGGGTTTGAATCCCAGCTTTGCCAGTCAGTGTGACCATTGGCCATGTACCCATCTATGCCACCCCTCAGTTTCCTCGTTGGTAGAACAGGGATGATTGGGTTGGTGTGAGATTTAAATGCTTAAAAGAGTACTTAGCACATAGTCAGCTTGATGAGTCCTGTAGTTTTGTTGTTGTTGTTGTAGCTTTTTGTTTTGTTTCTACCTCAAGCAGTGTGATTTTCTTTCACTGCCTTAATTAGGAAAATATCCACAATTACTTATCCTTTTACTGGCTGGCTGATGCAGCTGGGTACAAACTAATGTGTCATTTTCTAATAGGTAAATTGCCACAGGTCACACAGTGACTGATGAGGCTAGTATTCCTACCCAGGCAGTCTGGTTCCAGAAGCCAGACCCTCATTCAGTCCATTTTATGGCTTTTCTACTAGTTTGAGACTTTTGGTTGGAACATTAGGAAATAGTTGTTCCCATCCAGAATTCAAGCCATAGCTGCAATTTATCCTACCCTAACCTCTGACCTTAGTAGAAATACGTATTACCCCAAAGATTGCATCCCTGTATGAGTTCACATCTCTTAACATTTCCCTAGCACACACAGACTTAAGGTAATAGGTCCTAAAGGACACTGGCCATGCCCTAAAACTCAGTCTTCCCCACCCGAGGTTTACTGAGGTCTAATTTACATGGAATAAAATCCACCCTGTTAGGGTATGGTTCTATACATTTTGACAAGTGCATATGGTAACCACCATTATATTAAAACACAGAACATTTCCATTGTTCCCCCAAACTCCTTCCTGCCCCTGCCCCTGCTTCTCCTACTCTTGGCCTCCCGCAACTACTAATCTATTTTCTGCCCCTATAGTTGTTGTTGTTGTTGTTGTTGTTTTTTAACCCTGCTCCAAGAATACACAATTCAAAACCAGATAAGGATCATAGAAAGTCTCTCAAAAATAGCAGATACTTGATATTACCTGGGTGAAAGGTGAAATGAAATGGGGTCACTTATGTCAAGGGGTTTTCTTTTTTTTTTTAATTTTTTTTTTCTTTTAACATTTATTCATTTTTGAGAGGCAGAGGGTAACAGAGCGTGAGTGGGTAGGGGCAGAGAGAGAGGGAGACACAGAATCCGAAGCAGGCTCCAGGCTTCGAGCTTTCAGCAGAGTCCAACGCGGGGCTTGAACCCACGGACGGGGAGATCATGACCTGAGCTGAAGTCAAACGCCCAACCGACTGAGCCGCCCAGGCGCCCCTTCAAGGGGTTTTCAAATGCAGCCAGCCAGGAGG